AAAAAATAAACATTAAAAAAGAAAAATAAAGAAAAAGAATAAAAAAAGATTAAAAAATCAAAAAAGTGAAAAACTCTCTTAAGATAAAAAAAGAAATAGAAAAGACAAAAAATGATTTAAAATGGAAAAAAGCATTATTGATGAAACAAAAAGATAAATAAAGATAAATAAAAACAAACAAAAATAAAAGAAAATAAATAAAGAAAAAAGAAGAAAAAAAGATCAAAAAGAATTAAAAAGGACCAAAAAAGAAGAAGGTTTTTAATGAATCTCTTGCGTGTTAAAGCCAAAAAAAAAGAAAAAAAGATCCGAAAAAAAGCACTTTGGAGGAAACAAAAAACCCTAAACCCTAAACCCTAAACCCTCGAAACAAACGGAGAAAAAGAGCTGAAAAAGAAACAAAAAGAAACAAAAAGAAACAAAAAAGAAATACTTTTGTAAAGTTCTTCTTCTTCTTCTGTCTCTTTTCGCAAAGACAAAAAAACGTTTTTTTGGCCTTCCGGCATTTCGTCGTCCAGCAGCTGTACCTCCAGCCGACAAAGCCGCTGATATCTAAATTAAAAAATAAAAATAAAAATAAATAAATAAATAAATAAATAAATAATAAATAAAATAATAAATAAATAAATAAATAAATAAATAAATAAATAAATAGAATAAATAAATAAATAAATAAATAAATAAATATATAAATAAATACCTCTCCCAAGGAGTTTCTCCAAAAAGTCTCTGGCTAAATAATGAAGTATATACCTTATTAAAGAGCTCTTTGAACGGCAAAATAACAAATAGACAAATAAATAAACAAATAAATAAATTAAATAATTAAATTATTAATTAATTAATTAATTAGTTAATTAATTAATTAATTAATTAATTAATTAATTATTTAATTACCTTTCCCAAGGAGTTTCTCCAAAAAGAGTCACTGGCTAAATAATGAAGTATATACCTTATTAAAGAGCTCTTTGAACGCCAAAATAAATAAATGAACAAATAAATAAACAAATAAACAAATAAACATATAAATAAATAAATAAATAAACAAATAAATAAATAAATAAATAAATAAATAAATACCTTTCCCAAGGAGTTTCTCCAAAAAGAGTCACTGGTTGTTTGATGGCTCGAAGTCTGCGGAAGACTTCGGCTGTCTCTACAGGCGGCGTCGCCTCTTGTGGGGCTGCATGCGCTGAAAAAAGAATTAAAAAAAAGAATTTAAATTAATTAAATTAAATTAATTAATTAAAATAAATAATTAAATTAAACCATTTAATTTAATTTAATTATTAGATATTACATTGCTTTGACTATTTAACTGGTTTAATTGGTTTCATTTAAATTGATTTAATACTTTTAGTGCAGTTAATTCGGAACAAAAAGGAAAAAGAGAAAATAAAAGAAGTAAAAAGAAAATAAAAGAAAATAAAAGAAGTAAAAAGAAAATAAAAGAAAATAAAAGAAGTGAAAAGGAAACATCAAAAGGAGACAAAAAGGAGAAAAAAGAAAAGAAAAAATTGCAAAAAAGAACTAAAAAGGGCTAAAAAAAGCCAAAAAGATTTCCAAAAAAGAATGAAAAGGGGGAAAATAAAAGGAAAAAAGAGACAAAAAAGGAGACAACAAAAGGAGACAAAGAAGAAGAAAACAAAAGAGAAAAAAAAACAAAAAGAACCAAAAAGGTTTTAAAAAGCAGCAAAGAAAGGCGAAAAAGGAGACAACTGGAGGAAAAAAAGCAAAAAAAAGGGGAAAAAAAGAGAAAATAAAAGAAAAAAGAAAACAGCAAAAAGAGACAAAAGAGATTTTAAAAAGGAGAAAAAAAGCGCCAAAAAGAACTAAAAAGAAGTCCAAAAGGTTAAAAGAATTAAAAGAGTTGCAAATTGGCAAAACTAGTCGAAAAAGAGCGAAAAAAGAGAAAACAAAACGAAAAAAGGAGACAAAAAAAGGAAAAAAGAAAACAAAAAAAGGAGACTCCAAAAGGAGACAAAAGAGAAGAAAAAGAGGAGAAAAAAAGCTTCAAAAAGAACCGAAAAGAAGTCCAAAAAGTCCAAAAAAAATTTTAAAAAATAAAAAAAAAATAAAAAAAATAAAAATAAAAAGACCTTCTGCTGCGCCTTCTTCCTCCGCTTTGTTTGCGGCCAAACGAAAGCGCTTCGCCGCCAGCCGCTCTTGGAGTTCCTAAAAACAAAATAATTTTATTTATTTATTTTTATTTATTTATTTATTTATTTTTAATTAATTAATTAATTAATTAATTAATTTATTTATTTGTTTATTTATTTATTTATTTATTTATTTATTTATTTGTTTGTTTGTTTGTTTATTTATTTGTTTGTTTGTTTGTTTATTTGGGTTTGTTTGTTTGATTTGGTTGGTTTAATTGACTTAGTTCGGTTTGATTTGGTTGATTGGTTTTGTTTTACTTTTTTATTCGATTTGATTGCATTTAGTTTGGTTTAATTAATTTAATTAAATGAATTAAATGAATTAAATGAATTAAATCAATTAATTTAATTAAATTAATTAAATAAATTTAAATAATTTCATTAAATTGATTAATTTAAAGAGACAGAAGGGGGCAATTGGAAGTAATGAAAATAAATAAAAAGGAAATGCAAAGAAAAGCAAAAGCAAAAATAAAAATTAAATAAAAATAGAATAATGAGATAAAAGAAAATGGAAAAATGGGACAAAAAAAGAATAAAAAGAATAAAAAAAAGATTCGAAGGATCATAAAATAGCAAATTAAAAGGAGACAAAAAAAATAATAAAAAGAAACAAAAAATGCCAAAAATAGATTTAAAGAACGCCAAAAGGGATCCAAAAAAACTCCAAAAAAGTAAAAAAAAGCCCCAAAATAGATCCAAAAAAGGCCAAAAGAGATCCAAAAAAAAACCAAAAAAAGCCAAAAAAGATCCAAAAAAGGGCCACAAAAAGGTCTAAAGAAGGCCAAGAAAGATCCAGAAAAAACATGCAAAAAAGATACAAAGAAGATCCAAAAGAGACTAAAAAAAGATGCAAAAAAGATCCAAAACTCTAAAAAGGATCAAAAAAAGCGCAGAAAAAGATCCAAAAAGGATGTAAAAACGCTCCAAAAAAGACCGAAAAAAGATGGAGAAAAAAGCCACGAAAAAGCTTCAAAAAAGCTCCAAAAAGGATGCAAAAAAGCTGCAAAAAAGATGCAAAAAGGGACAAAAAAGGTGCAAAAAGGAGACCAAAAGGAGACAAAAAAAAGGGCCAAAAAGAGACAAAAAAGAAGACAAAAAAGGGGGCAAACACAGACAAAAAAGGAGACAAAAAAGGGGGCAAAAAGAGACAAAAAAGGAGACAAAAATGGGGCCAAAAACAGACAAAAAAGGAGCCAAAAAGAGACAAAAGAGGAGCCAAAAAGAGACAAAAAAGGAGCCAAAAAGAGACAAAAAGGAGCCAAAAAGAGACAAAAAAGGAGCCGAAAAGAGGCAAAAATGAGC